ATTAACAAAGGTTAGCGTCAGTGTGAATTTACGCTAAAATTGCAATTTTAGTATTAGTCCATATTCATATTACACAGAGAATAAACAAATCTACTTCCTTCTAGGAGCAAATATTACTCCCGTAGGACCTCGTACTAGGTTAACCTTTGTTAAGTCTCTGTTTAATAATATGAATTTTGACTAATACGAAGAGCACTCTCAGCGTAAATTTACTCCAACGTTAAACCTTGTTTATAAGTAGTACTGTATAAGTATTATTTCGATAAAGCAAAACCTTTATACTTTAATCTTTTGATTTGTAAGTTGTCATTGATCGGCATTCAGAGTATATTTTTTGGGCCCACAGTCTAATATAAAGGCATGTCTACGTGAAATCGACTCTACATCCATTTAAATGTTACATTTTACTGTTTTTAGATAAAATAAAGTAGTATTCCAATCGAATTAGCATAGACAAATTACTGTATCCATCTATTGACGAAGTGATTAATTGCAATATAATTTACTTAACAAATAGCTCATTTCTAAATTAACTATCGTTTAATATAATGTGTTTTGAAACCTTTCATTGAAAGGAATTCGTAACTAATAAAAAACGCTAAAAATAGATACTAAAAACAATGAAATGAAGTATAAAAAATATTGATAAGCCTATCAAAATTCTGAAAGCTGAATCACGTTCTTAAACAAAAAATGTATAGAGAATAATTTTCATGTATTTTCATCCGCTAATAGCATTAAGGGTACTAATACAAAAATATAACTACTAGAGAGTACATGGAAGCTCTGGTCCCAGATGTAATCCCTTAGGATGCTTGTGGGACGGCAGTGTCCCGCTCTGGGCATTCTGCGCCGCATGGGATTCAATCTCTGGGGAATTTGTGGGGTTACAAAAAAATAATAGTTAGCGCTACCGTTGGTGTATGAAACTTATAATAACAGGTTTTACTAATAATCTTGAGGTATTTGCAATATTCGATAATGAAATACAAAAAAAAAATCAATATAAGATAAGGAAAATTCCTTGTATCACAACACATAATCCGAAGACTACAGAAAAGTAAATTTTCTACAGGACTCCAGGACTCTCAGACATGACTAGACTTGAAAACCTGGCCCCATAATCACCAAAGTATATTGCGACCATACAATATACTTTGGTATCACCACCAAAGTATATTGCGACCATACAATATACTTTGGTAATATCTATTGGAAAGCATATTTTGTTGAAAATACTTTCGAAAATCGGTCAACTATTCGCGGTAATGTCGGTGAATATACAGAAAGAAAATAATTTTCGAAGACAAACATACAACCTTCTTCTTTTAGATTTTGAAATCTGTCAAAAAAAACTAAACATTTTTTTTTATCTCGCAACAAGTATAACAATTATGCTATATATAGAAAAGGACCAAAAATAAAACAACAATAATCTCATTCGGAATTAATTAAAAATCAGCTTCCCGATGCAATATTCTCAACAAAAGCCACCAAATTAATATGTTGTTTGAAGATAGTTAAGTAAACATAATCATTTGGCCACGTGTTATGCGTACGCCTGGCCATTCATACTATAGCGGGTCCTACAGGATTTGAACGAATCCCATTCGGGAGGCCATGAGTCAGTATCTTAAGACTAAACTCAAATAGAGGGAGTTAGATTGATGTTTTTGATACTGATATGATAGTGATTTAGTATGGGAACACAAATAATCCCGTTTATGTAGGGAGAACTACTATTTTTGCATTTAATAATATTTTTTGTTTAATCTCTGTACATTAAGTATGATTTTTATTTTTATTTGTTACATAGCAAGCCTTTTTGAACTTTAATGCCTATTGGCTGAGCCATTTCTTATTAAATTGAGACAAAAAATACATAATGTTCTCGTTGTTATGGCACCTTTTTAGGGAGAAAATCCAAAATGGTCCCACCCAAAGGAACAAAATACAACAAAAATAATTAAGTTGAAATAACAACTTTTTTGAAATTAAATATAGCTAATACTGTTATATAATCTAACTTAACGGATTTTTTTTACGCAGTCATCATCTCTCTTTATAAATTGTTTACTGTTTATACATATTTATTATTTTTCAGAGATACGACAGCAAAATATAGTTTGTTGTTTTCAATATTTATTATATCTATCTATTGATTATATTTGTGTATTTAAAAACATATTCAGATTAAAATAGAACTACTTAGACTGTAACAGAAAACACAATTTGGTTTTAGTTACATGTTGACTTTCAAACAGAGTATCCAAAGAGCAAACCTTCGTAGTTTGCTCTTTGGATACTCTTTTAAACGGATTTCAAAAAAGTTGTTATTTCAACTGAATTATATTTGATGCATTTTCATTTGCTTCTGGTTGGGGGACTATGGACCATTTGACCGCTACAAAGGTGCCATAACAATAAGAGCTTTCATACTCGTATTAATGCTATTGATCTACTATTTTGTTCGTGAAAATATCCGGAAAACCCATCTTTCCAGATAGTTGCGTGCCATGTTCGCATGCACCGGACAATGTCGGACATTAGCTGATTGCTGCCACGGCCTAACGTTTTAATACGATTAATTTGACCACAGGCCCCGCCGCCATCTTGCCTCGCCATTTTTACTCAACGACTGTTTTGCGTGTCGCTTGTTTGGCTTAAGGATTAAACGGCACTTAGGTGATGCTATACACTTTTTTTGATATGTTAATATTTTTGGACACTGGTACAAAATCAAAAAAGTGTACATTAATTACTTAATTACGCTTTTATTACGTTGACTAGAACTAGATAGCACAGAGATTGTGGATGTTAAGCAATTTTCTCAATAGCTGGTTACAGGATGGATAACCAAAAATGTATTATCTCGAGCTCCGATAGGATGTCTGACTTAAAGAAAATATTATCTCGAGCTACTCCGTGCTTTGGAAGGCAGGTCAAATTGGTTCCGGCTGTATTTAGAGTCGTTAATGCCCTCCGATTCGCATTGGACCAATGGAGGGTCATGGCCTATTCTCCTTAACCTTCCAAGGCCTGAGCCCCGTAAAGGGGCTAATGATTAAGTTGTTGAGAAATAGGTAGTTTGTGGCGGTTGCGAGATTTGTTACTGCTTGTCCATGCGTATTTAATTACTTACAGAGCATAAGTATTTTGAAGATAATATCAGGGTTTGAATGTTGCTAAATATTATCATAGTTTTACAGTCATTAGACTGAATGGATGTTGACGATGCAATGCGACTTTCCTAAATTAAAAATGCTACTTAAAGTAGGGTTTAATAGAATAAATAATTGTTTGACTGAAGAAACACTATATTTCTACAAGCTTTTATTTAACTTGCCTTGTTTGTTAACTCAAATTCAACCCACTTCCCAAAGTCCGATAGACTTGAAATATTGTGGTGCCTAAAAATATGATAATTCCTTGTCTCTGATTTCATGGCCGATATCTTTTAACCGTTCTAAATTTAAATTACAGAATAAAACTTTTGAACGGCAGTTAAGCAGCTGTCTTACATTTCATTCACGAAAATCAATATATTTCGATATCTTGATTCATTTATTGAAAATTAGTAATGATATGAGTATTCTAATGTTATCAGGTAACAAGTTCATATAAGCTCTAATCTGGAACAATAAATGAACAAAACACATTGCTGGCTCATTCCGTTATTCTTAGTTAACAATGTTCGGCCTAAGTTAATTATGTTCACGATATAAATCTTTCGTAATTGGCCTCCTGTTTCACAACACTAAGAGCTTGGGACGTGTTGAAATTATATATGTGAGAGCGGCCAACTTTCATGATGTTATAAGTAAATTATTATGTGTTTACTCCGGTAACAATAATAATTACATATATCTAACGATCAATATAAATAACCAAGGATTCAGTATATATATACTCTATATTTCGGCAAGAGATCTATCCAAAGATAACATGTTTTTGCTACCTTTATTAAATAGTACTTTGTTCCTAAAAACTGCTGTATTCGAGTATCAGGTTTATTCTTTTCTTTCATATTTCCAAGCACCGCAATTTTGTCTCAAAGTAAGCAAAGCTTGTTTTACAGTACGGGATAACCACCTACAAGCTACTGTCAGACAAAAAATATTGACTGCCATGGACACTATTTATCGATTGCATCACGGGAATCGCTATCTGTCAGTGAGCTGTCAATGGCACTTTGATATTGATGTGAAACGAGATGCGCGTAAATATACCGCCGGGTATTTATAGTATAAAATAAATCAATTGAAGATGAGGAGTCATCCGACGTATTATTAGTAAAATGACTTTATTTTTTAGGATAGAAATACTAAATTCTGTATCTGATTGTTGTTACATATTTCGTAGATATCGATCTATAATTGAATAGGTGACGATATATTTTCCCCTGCACTATTTAAACAATTATTAATATTTCAACTTTTCAGATCACTCCCATGTCACTCAAAGCGACTTAGTGAAACTATTCACCCATAACCCTTTCGAAGTTCAAATCACATCTAAAATTTCATGACGCGCGGATCACAAAGGAACTTTGCAGGGTCATCTAAATTGAGGTGTGGGAGTGAAATAAAATTGTAACACGAGATAACGATAATGAGTTTGTTCGGATGCAATGCAATTTTGGCGGTAGGGGGCGTGGGGAATTAGGACGTAATCGGGCGGCGGCGATGACAATCTGTCGCGTGTAGGTCACGTGATAGACGCGTGGATGGCGCGTGACGTAAAAACGACTGCGGTAGTGGTCGCGCCGAGAACGGTTTCGAAGCGGATGGTGGCTGGTGAACGGTACATGATCGTCATTTGTCGACGCAAAATCGCAAGATGGTTGATGCCGTGTTAATATTACGTTCGTATCTCGATTTTATATTTTTAATATGGCTCGTATATCTAACAAATATATAAAGTATGGGCTAATATAATGCCCGCTTAATACGATGCAAAAGCAAATTTGTATATTTTCTATTGAGATTACTTCACTCAACTTACAAGGCTTCAACTTGCCGCAGCTGTAAAAATTATCTTAGAAAAAATTAAGAAATTATGCATAGGTGATTATAACTCGACACAGTTTTTTTGTATGATTCAATACATTGCACAGATCCCAAATAGCTAAAGCACTTGTATCATGGAAATCTGGAAAAACGTTGGTAACACAATACGCAGACTCGAGACAATGTCGAAAAGTTCATTTTCAACATTGACCCGACCGGGAATCACACCCACAACCTCGGATCGGACGGCCAAGGAGGTCGTAGCTAAATTGATATTATATATAATATTAGTTTAGCTACGACCTGATATTATATATAACAAAAAAACAAACCTGTTTCGTCACCGAATCGATGAGACGAACAAAAATATCTTGCTCTTGTCTGATACCTGTAACAAAAATATACAATTAAACACTCACATATTTTAGTTAATGTACAATCTTATATGTGTATAATTTGGCTATCTAATGCACATAATTTACCGTATTACAATTGTTCTAATTTTAATGTGTGCTTAACTGTTAAATATAAAATGTTAATTAGTTTGTATTTACAAATCTGATCTACATTAAAAAGGAAAAGAGACAATTAAAATGGGAGAGTATCCGAAATATTATTCATGACGAATAAACTTAAGAATACAGAATTATTCTTAAAAATTCTTACAATAATAGAACAGGTACTATATAATATCCATCGGCTTTATTTTTATTCAGAATTCCTACAAGAATTGCTACACAGAACGTAGTCAGGCTTAGTTAATCAAATGTATATCTACGAGTGACGTTACGTCGCAGTCGAGTCTACGATGTAGCTTCGTAGCCTAGTGTTATCATAGGAGTTATTTATATCATCCTTAAAGTAATTCACTCGAGTCAAATATAAACTCACTAACACTTAGTAGTTTATACTACTTATAACATTCTAATTAATCAACAGATTCGTAACCATTTCTAAAATACTTGTGTTATTTTCATCACTACTGAAAACACTCAAAGTTAACTTATACAGTATTTTTTTATCATCATCATCATCATCACCAGCCTATTTATGTCCCCACTGCTGGGGCCTACCTTCACTATGGATGGAATCAAATCGAATAGGGAGAGTGGGCCATAACCCACCACGCGGACGCAGTGTGAATTGGTTGATATTAACGACTACAGATAAATTCTGAAGCATGGAGGATCTCGAGATAACAAATTTTTGGTCACCCTTCCTATGACAGGCCATTACGAAAGTTACTTAATTACTGTATCGCAGACCGAGCGCGTTGAGCACTGCACCATCGAATTTCTCTTTGTTCTCTTCCCAACTAGGGCTCAGACCTTTCTTACGGATGGTTAAGAAGGATGGAACTGACCCTCCACGTTAGACCAATGCGTATTGGACGGTATTGACGACAGCAAATTCAGCCGGGTGCAACGGCTTAACGTGCCTTCAGAAGCACGGAGTAAGTCGAGTTAATAATTTTTTGTCAATCATCCTGTGACCGACCGTTGTGAAAGTTGCTTAACAACAAATATCGCGGACCGCGGCTCTTATCAACTACACCACCGAGTGCTCTTCTCATAAATACATAAGCAATTAAATATGAGGTCGCGGTTGTTATTTAATGACGTCATAACTCACGATCCAAGAGACTAACGTCAACGTTTCTACAATGAAATGACAAGCGTCTATTCGTGCCAATTTTCCAAGAACCCACTGAGGGCAAGACGGCAAATATTTACAATCCGACGGGTGCATTGTCTGTGGTCTCTCTACAGAATACATAATCAACTCGTGCTTCTCTTGTATACCGTGTACGAACGGAATAAAGGATATATTCGTTTAAATAGAAAGCAAATGGTGCACATCAAGAAGTAAAACCGTTTGAGTTATTAGAATAGGAGGATACTAAGACGATTTTTTGTTTCATTATATAACTACTAGATGTTAATTACGACTACGTTCGTCGTTACTCGGTTTCTGAAGAATCAAGTGTAACATTCAAATAATTCCATTAGCCCATAATCTTCTTCAATGAGAAAGACAAAGATCTTCTATTAAACCTAGGTCAGTCGGTAGTTTCAGATGTTTATACATTCGAACAAACTGACACTATTATGTTATTTACAGTATAAACACACTTTAGTCTTACAATACATAAAAGTAATAATAAATAGTATTCAAGTACATCATCCACTACCCCATTATGATTTGCTCATTTTACATCTAACTCTATCCCAAGGTTACCTAAAAGAGATAATTTTAGCGATAAGGCCGCCATTTGGACGTCTCCTACTGAAATTGTTATGTGTGTATACAATAAAGAGTATCCTATCTATCTACATTGCAGTACATGTCAATAAGGATATTTAGAAAAGTATTTGACAACTAGTAATGATACAACGTAGCGAATTGTCACCATGTATAACCCATCACGCAGGTCCAATGTCAATTATCTCCCTGGCACCCTGAGATGGCATACGAACCTATGACCATTCGCAATCCGAGCGACTGCTCTAACCACTAAGCTACCCAGGACCTAACAGGACTGACGAATCTTCAAGCACTTGTTACTTTTTCACTACTACAGAGCTTTTTCTCATCAATGTTCAGGGAATCAACACAAACATCCCATCCTAGAGTGCCACTGATCAAGTTGATTTTTTAAGCATTTTTCATTAAGAATATTTTTCAGTATATAATACATACAATATAGTTATATAATACAATATAGTTCAGTGACATAGTTTTCAGGTACACACAAAGTGGAACGTATGCATTGAGTATGACAACGGCAGGAAGGCAATACCACAAGACCGACAATATTGACATAATCCTAAGCGGCTCACGACCTGCATAGAGAATACGGTAGATTGAACGCGAATCACTTAGCAACCTCCACAGCAATTGTCTCTTGTAGTCGCATTCATAGATAATACGACTACATGAGACTGTGTATTGTATGTGTATTGCTACAGAAAATGTGTATTGCTTATTGCTAATAAACTTACTCTGTATAAGTTTATTAGCAATAAGCAATACACATTTTCTTTTCTACTTTTATATCATTAATAGAATATTATTAACGAAGTTTATTTCTTATATTTTTATAGATTTGAATAATTATTACATATTTCAGTTGTATTCTTAAGTACTGGCGACCAGTAGATCGGTTGTCTTTTAGTCTAATTATTAATGAAGAGTTATTAATTGTTAATCTGCCGTCACTATCTCTGAATAATTAGATATGTAAGTGAAAATTAACTTACCATTAGCATAAAGTAACTGCAGTCTATATTGGATGCCATTGTTTGTCTTCTGTCCTTCAGCTTCCTATGAAAGAAAGAAATAATGTTTTAAAGCTTTAAATACACTTTTAAACTCATCTGGCTCAACTGGCTTATGATTTCATGAAAAACTACATTTATAATAAGAATACCTTATGCTTGAAGCAAATCAGTAATATCAATATCATTGTAAACAAAATAAATATTCTTAATACTCAGCAATTAAAATGAGTTAACAATTATTTGATATTTTAAAGGGTTACCACTGTAAAATTAAAGAAACACTGTTTTTAAAAAGGTAAGTCATCGTATAATAATTAAAATGCCCTTAAAATCTAAAATAAGGTTAGAAACATAACAAAGGTGAAAGATACCTCCAGTAATACGATAACAGTGCACATAAGGTACGGTACACACATCGTAAAAACACGCGCAACTGTGTACTGTCTGTTTGAATAATTAAAGATGGCGCGGGACTACAAGAAGTGTGAATGCGCCCCCGACTAGTATCTACGCAACCTACATAACTAATATGAGCAAAAAGTATTTGTCCAAAATAGGTTTTAACCTCAACTCCTAGATATATAGAAACAGAAATTCTTAGATATCTTGGAAAACTGACACCGATACGAGAATAAAATGTGATGTTTTAATTTAAATATATAATACATATTAAAAATCAGAATAGTCGAAGCTTTCCTTTTTAATCACATAATCAAATTGGAATTAAATCAAAAAAGATTGGAGTGTTGACATTTTCTATTCTTGTCGCTCCCGTGCGTACTCCAGGTTATGACATCATAAGAGGGTGTATAATGTTTTACTTTCTTTAGAAATCAGTTAAAGCTTATATTATAAGAAATTGTAGATACGTTAAAATTTTAACCAAATTATTGTTTTATTTTATATATAAAAATGACAATGGCGAATTACCCTGAAAATTTCTGGTAATGATCGAATTTAAACCATTACTAACCCTATTAAAATTATTTAAAAATACTTACAGTCTATTTTAAACACATGCCACCAAGGCGCACACGCATTATGTAAATAAAGCATTGTACACACAATAGACATCATGTCCAAACGATCCTGATTAATGGATCCTCTGATTCGCGATACGATCTCGAATAAGGGATTATTGATAACACCGGTAATGGGTAGCATTGAAAGGAATGTTTTTAAGAGGCCATTTTATAGATAAAAACTAAAAATTGTTTTGTTTTAACCAGCGTAATCGTAATTTTATGTTATTTAAGCTGTTATTAAAAATATTTCTCGATTTTAAACCTCAATTCAATTCCTATAGAGACAGATCTTTACTGTCCGACCGACTTAGAGAAAAATAAAAAAGACTAGAAAACATGAAATGTTAAAAGAAATACCTTTCTATTTGAAAAAATATATAATTCCTAGCGTAATTATAAAAAAAAGGTTATTATCTTAATATTGGCCAGGCCGAATAAAACGAAAAAAATATGAAACAAACTCATAACGTTACACTACATAAGTAAGTACCATCCTTATAATAAGAGAGATGTTTACCTGATCTTTTTCTATGAAACCAATGAACGCGGTGCGTTCAATCTCGACAGGCTGTCCCGCTCTATCGTATAATGCCACGACGAAATGGAAGAAGTTGCTCTTGCGCAGGTTACTGGGCGGCTGCTTCTCGAAATGTGCTCGGCCCACGCCCACGCTACTACCGAACGAAAATATACATGATATTTTAAATTCCAACTTTCAATATTCTTCATATTTGTTGTTATGGTAATATTGCATAGATGTAATTTATATTTATTCCTTTTCTATTTCTTTTTTAACTATCGTATTACACGTCAAAAATTTTCCTCTTCCAATGACTAAAATCGGCTAAAACCTCATTAAAATAATTTTTGTGATTTTTGAGTTATTCGCGTTCACAATGACATTTTTTTTTATTAATCGAATAACCTTGAAATCGAATAAAGTTGCTTTTTTGTTTTATAATATTTTAAAGTCAAAACAGATATACAGTACACTATAAAAATATATACATGAAAGTAAAAAGATGCAATTTATTTCAATAATTCACGAAAAATACTATAGTAGGTTATTTTTTTTGCTAGAACTATACATCTGTTCGCAGATAATCTAACTCGATGGGGTGGCAAAAAAAAATTGTCACCAAAATAAAGTCGTAAATATCTTTCGGCAGTTACTTTATTATAATTTCTTACAGCGTATTTGTTAATAAAGACACAGCCACAAACAGATTTGGCGCGCTTTTAACACAGACCACAGACAAAAAAAAGTTTAGAGAACAAAACGCACAGATTACAATCCTTTCAAAAATTGATTTATTGCCTTCACCGTTGAAAAAAGAATGCGGTCTTTTTGCTAAAATGATTTTCATTCTTAAACATTTGGCGACAAAAGATGTAGTTATTAACGGTAATAATAAATTTGTTTCTGTTAACTGTACCTGTGGGAAAGATAAATTTTGGATATTGAAATTACACATTGGTTTGTATATACAGAGTTAAGTAAAACTTTAGACAACTCACGTTTTTACCTTTATAGTGCTACCAAATATAAGACACAGTACCCAAAAACTAAGTAAGATAGCTCGTTTTTCGAATTTTCTAAATTTTTTATTAACATAAGAATTGACATTTTAACCAAAGTGTTAACGAATGTAAATAATATATATTTTATGTATTTCTATATGTTTATGAGAATATAGTGATATTTTTCTATGTTTGATTGTATTTATTTAATTGTTATAGGTAATATTTCTTATTTTCATTGAATTCATCTCCACAGAATAATTTTTAGTTGTGCACTCCCTTTTCCATCCTAAGGCTGCCTGGTAGGTATTGTTATACTGTAGAATCATGTATGAAATTTTTGACATGTATGAGAGGATTATTATTTAATGAGCTAGTTTAAATGTATCAATTGACCGAGTAAAAAAGAATAGTTAAAGCCAAGCTTTATAAATATTTAGACTTGGTATACTTACACAAGTTATTACTAGGCTCGGATCTAGGGAGGAAGGGGATGGGGGCGCTTGCCCCGGACGCTAGTGTTAGTATTATTTAATATTTTCATTTTATAATACCTATTGCATACGCAAAAATCCGTAAATGAAATAAAAGAAAGTAAAAGCAGGATGCCATAAGAAGTTTCTGCCTCGGTTAGAAAAAAATTGAGGGATCTGGACCTGCTTACTACTTTCTCGTTTCCCTATATAATGTTGCCAACCTGTTGCCTAAAACGGCTAAGTCAAATTCCCGTCTTCCATTCGAATTCTGTAGCTTAAGAATACTACATTTCATTTTTGTTTACATTTAAAGTTATTTTTGATGATTTCGGCACAAGCAAGGTTCTTTTTCAAATGCATTTCTAAAATTATCAATAACGCAGATGAAGTGAGGACAAACAAATGCTGCCCACACACCTCGATATCGACACGTGTGTGCCAAAATAAACTGTAAATTTACCAATTCATTTATATGCTTTAGTATATTTAAATAAGAGACATTTTTGAACAGCTGGAAGATGGTATTGATGAGTTATGAATGCAATAAATATATCGATAGAATTTCAAATGTACATACATGTTTCGTTAAATCTTCAGTGATATAACTCATTGGTGATTCGCTACAACACTATCGTAGTGTTTTTATTTATATCGTAGCGTATTTAAATAAGAGACATTTTTGAATAGATAATAATATATATCTTTTTTGTACAATAGAAAAGAAACAAATAAATATGTTTGGAAACCTTAATTGGCTTCTTCTATAGTAAAAGACAACGAATTTAATGCAATTTGTTATCAATATATTTGTACATAATGATTCAAGAAGAAGGTTATTCAAGAATAAGGTTCATATGTATAATACGTGCATTAAATTAGAAAAAAATGTCTTTTTCTGTTCTTAAAACTGTACCAGAGAAGGTAACTGGCCGCTAGTATTACTACATACTATAGTTAAGATTTATGTTTTTACTGTATTAACTATAAAAGAATATCATTTTAATTATGTTCAGGGCTCGTAAACTCCGATATTTTTAATAATTATAAAAATATCCGATATATATCATGGCTTTATTTTATATTTGATCTTTTAAATCAAAAGTGTAAAATCCAGCTTGAGTTTGACGTGAACTTAAGCATTAAATTTTAAGAAAAACCAAAAAACTAACCGTTTTGTACTCTGCCTTCATATTACGGGGAGAACCCGAAATTTCTAGTAAGTTATATTACTTCGGGAAGACTTCAAGCCAATGTTGCCAGCGTGACATTGGGTTGGTTAATTAACTCGGTGAGACTCAAAACTTAAACTAACAATATATATGTTTAATGTCAAATGATATATCAACGTGATACCTAATTGTGATTCTGTTGTTGGCATAGTATAAAATAGTGAAAACGTGACGTACTCAATATTTTTTATTAATAGCATAGTCGATACCAATCTATATGCAATCGCAATACAAAATCCTACAAAAAGGAATACAGAATAAAAACTATTTATATCGAGATTCAAAGTAAAAGCTGATAGGGAAAGCAACCCACCAATATCGAAATTAGCTTCACATCTACACGCAGCATTATTCGCCAGGACCGTATTACGCTATGGTCGCCCATTCATCTCTTCCCGCTGCAGAATTTGCGTAAACAAATTGGTTTCGCGATTGCCATTTTATACTCTCGCGTGCGACACTCCATTGTTTTATTTATAGCTACCAGTTTCGCGCTCGTGTTTAGGCTGCAGCGCTTTTTCCGCTTACGGATCGCAGCGCAATCAATCTTCGAACGGATTTTGTTGAGTATTTATTTTGACTTTTACGGGTTAAGGTTCGAGTCGATTGTGATTTGTGTCGCTGCAAACGCTACCGGTCAACAAATCGGTGGTAGTCAGACGTTTTGTATTCAAAATGGATGGAACAGTTGAAAATGATAATAGGGATGACGACGAATTTTTGTTTGTTTGTCCGTCAGGTAGAGTATTAATAAAGCTTAAACAACGTTTTTTTTTCCTTATCATAAAATTACGGCGTAACATGGAGTTGAAATTTCGCATGACGTCACGTTATGGTACGTTTTCTACTAAACCGTGACGAAGCGAGCTCTCAACTTTAATGCCTGTTATCAAAGCTATTTCTTGTTAAATTGAAGTAAAAAAAAAAAGTATCTAATATTTTTCTATTATCTGACTGACTGACTAAATAGAATTGCATTTTTTTTACCCAGTCGTCATCCCTATCGTATATAAAACGCTCAGTTCTACAATAGTTCGTTAAGGTTTAATGAGTAGACAATGACAGTTTAAGATTTTAAAATGTGTGCAACGAGCAGTGTATGAATAAAGTATCAAATAAAAAACTTTTTAGTGACAAGCTACTTCGCACGTGTAAATCATAGTCTATGTCAACCCCGTATGATGTAACTGCCCGTAGGTGAAGGAATTTTTAAAATCAGTCCAGTAGTTTCGGAGCCTATTCAATGCAAACAAACAACCAAACAAAACTTTGGAATATTAATATAGATATCTAAATACTTTAATTAGGAGACTGCTTATAAATCGTTTGATAAATTTTAAATTAAATGAACTTATTCTAATCCTATTTACTTTTTATACCTATAGTTTACGCACTTATTTGTATCGAAAAGAGAAACATATAAAAGAGGATTTAAATAAAGTGCATTCAAACTCTGTAAAAATTTTAAAATATTCTCCACAGTCGAAAGAAGTTGTAAATATCATATTTACCATTTTCAATCTTATTCTGAAATTTATTTATCTGAACCCTTCGGTTACAAAATATCTTATACATTCACCAATTTTTAACACACCATTTTCATTTTTCATCTAAATCTAATAAAATTCTAGACGATTAATATCCCTACTGCTTAGGTACACACACGCCTATCCTATAGATTGGTGGGTGTTATCGATCGCAGAAGCAGTCTAGATCAATGATTTTACGTGCCTTCCAAACTACCAAGGAGTTCAAAAAAACAAATTTTTGGTCACCATTTTACCGGCTCTTGCGAGAGCTTAACATAAGTTAACATAAAACGAATTCAAAGTTTATTTTAAGTTTGCCAGCCTCTGTTGAAAATATTGTGGAAATAGAATTTATTAGAAAATTATTTTGAAGAGTATTAGTATAATTATTGAGGGTTCCGTTTAATGATTTGGAGACAGTTTTATAAATGACACTGTCATCGCCGCCGGCCGTTTATCTATCACCATTCGTCATACGGACCTCCTGATGATATCAAGCGATTAGTTTAATTAATCAATTTGAAGGGGTTCGCTTCAATTAATAATTATTCGTTGCTTGTAGTGAACTACGTGAATTAGATTGATATTTTGAAGATGACTTATGTTTTAAGCTAATTTTATTAACTAATATTTTCCGTCAGAAATAATTTGGAATTACGCATAATAGTTTAAAGTATTAAAGATGTTTTCCCACGACTTCGCACGCAAAACTTATAGCCTACGTCACCCGCGTATAATGGAGCTACCCGTAGTTAAAGAATTTTTAAAATCGACCTATTCAATACAAACAAACAAACAAGTCTTTTCTCTTTAATTTATTAGTATAAACTAGCTAATCCAGAGAATTTTGTGGGTACCACTTCAGTATTAAATAATATCTCCAAGTTCATCAAAATTAATTTCTAAACGCAACCTGTTTGACATGCGAGAACATTTTGTTCGGGAAAATAAAAAAATTCCTTGAAATTTCTTTATGTTTTCTCACCCTTTAAGCTTTCCAAGCTTTAAGTCCAAGGAAAGCTTCATTGGGCTCCTACAAATATATCAAATAAACCAAAAATAGTAAATCCTAATTTCGATTATTTTTTTAATTAACAATCTTCACTTCTTTATTATGGTAGTATGTAAGCACTTTGTTATCTGATAGACAGTACTAAGAATAGTTCAAATGAGACACTAGAGTACTATAAAAATAACCACACAATCTGTAGATAAAACGTGACAGATGTCGTGAGAGCCCTTCACAAACAATGCCCTCTAATTCGGCAGACCGTCAATACGACGCATTATGACTTACAACTGTTTACTGTTGTGCAAATTTGTTTATTCAATTGCTAAACACAATATTATAATTGAAGATTGTTCGCCTATTCGAAAATCAAACTCTTTAGTCTCTTTGAAATTGGTACGTAGAAAAAAAGAACTTTAAATAGAAAGATTTCAATTCTATAAGTAGTTTTTATTGTCAAATAGACAATAAAAACTACTTTCAAATTAAATAAGCAAAACGGAAGAAAAAAAAAAGATAAAATAAATACAATTACCCGAAAAAGTTTTTTTCAGAACGGAGAAATTTTAATTTTCGCTCTCCAAACTCGCGCTATTCAAAAGCCGAGTACAATCATAAGCAAAACTGTTCCGCGCTCCCCACACCGCGGTATGATTTATCACGCCCTTTGCGTTTATGAATACGCACTTGTTACGGGCGAGTTCATTATCGTGCCAAATTCGCTCGCCCCTGATTGGACCCTGCTCTGTGCAGTAATAAAGTCCGCATTGTGACTATCAACCTGCTGCAGTTTCAGGTGATGATAAATGGTTTTGTGTCTGGTGCGTTTGTAAAAATAATAATAATAATTATTTAATAAATAAACGCCAATATTATTATATGAGTACTGAGTAGTGCACCAAAATGACAATGATGTAACATTCTCTAAACTAAATAAAAGGAAAAATATTATAATATAGGTTTCTTTTAACGTTATTTGGTAGTCATATAGATATACCTACTTGAATGAAATAAACATAAATATACTCCTCTCTACTAATATTACATTAACTTATAATTACGCTATTTGATAAGGTTTAAATCTTAATTTTCTAGTTAGTCTAGTTTTTGCAACAGAATTGCCACCAATATGTCTTCATGTTTTATCAAATTAATTGCTTCGAAGATAAATAAAACTATTAAGACAAATATAATTTTTATTCTGTACTTACACTTGTCTGTATGTGATACCTTTTAAATATTTCACATATTTTTCTCTTTTTATACCTTTCTAAATTATTAGGTACGTTGATATATTAAGTTCACCTACTTATGAATAAATGTTCAAATAATTTTGGTAACAAGGGGGTTTTATTTATATAAGCTGAATATATTTATAAAAGACCCAAGTGTATATTCCATATTGATGGCTTATTTCCGACCCCTCATACAGTGGAACTTAATCCCATTCGGTTATTTAATGTCAAACCAGTAGACATTTGTTACGGTTTGCTCAGTTCGCGGTGCTCTAACACAATTTGTGGATATAATCAGTTTACAGCGTTGCTCTTTCTACTAAAAGGTTTATTAAAACTGGATAAATGAGATCCTTTCGAATATGTAAACAATAAAATGAACGCTCACTGCGCACGTGGAATATCTTAATATTGATATTAAAATAAAGAGAGCTATATTTAGGTACTATATGCAATTAGATAAATAGAATTCTACTAAAAGTTTTTTTTATCAATTGATATTTTCTATATTTTATAATATAAATACGGTTTTGTTAAATAATATAACAAGTATATCGTTAGTATAGTTATGGATGAATAGGGCTATATGATTGTTTTTCTTGTAATTATTAATAGTACAAACCGAATACCTTTTGTGGAAATTAAGAATATCTACGGCTTATAGAAATACAATTTACATTATCATAATTTTATCTAATAAATGCGAACCTGGTAGTCTCATAAAAGTCTTTCTTTCTTCTTTTTTAAGGTTTTTAAACCAGCCGTTTTCTAGTAATGCTGTTACCGATAAATATTCGAATGAACGATATAAAAGAAAAATAGTCAACCACGTACCAGATTTTATCGAGTACACGATATTTATTCGAATGTAAATGCTCAAAGAAAGTTAAAAATAAAATAGAAAAGTATTCCAAGACCAAAACAATTATTTAAATAATGATTTATAGTACTTACTTGGTATTGTCAACTAAGGAAGTTGGCGTCATCCAAGCTCTGGTAAGCGGTTCCTCTTTGAGTGAGGTGACCGGCCCACGAGGCTGTGCGTGCAGGCCTCCCGCCGCCTCTTGATGATGGAGGCCGAACATGAGACCACCTTTACCGAATACAAAATACAATTAAATAATAGCCTCAGGAAAAAATCTTCAGAAAATGAAAAAAAATTCGTAACGGATAGTGCCGATTATTATTCGTTGTGCCTATTTAATTTTTCTAAAAGACTAAAAAAAACTTAAGTATTCCATATTTTAAAAATAATGTAGACACGTTCCTTTACCTATTTCATCTATTTCTTTAAATTTAAAAATATTTAATCAACGTCACTCTTACTAAATTTAGTTCATTGTCTGCAAACAAGTTTTTGAATGTTATATTTAAATATTTATTATATCTCTGTTCTATTTATTGATCAAAATCTTAATTTAATCAAAGTTATTTGCCACAAATAAATGAGTGTTTGATACTTAGAAAATTGATTATATTATTTCGTGTATTCCCAAAAATAACTTTCAAAAAAGTATAGAATAAAAAAAATACAGATTTTTCATATATTCAAAAATAAAAGGCTGTACTATATTTAAAAATCTACATTTAGGTACTATCACCTACCGGAAGACCTCGGTGCTCCCGATGGATACAGCTTGCGTCCCCATCCCACGGGGTCTAATTCCAGTGGCGGCCACGGCGAGCCGGTGTACCCGCTCGCCGCCGCGTTTAACTCGTCCGACCGAATCGCGACTCAAGACCCGCGCCCGCAACCAGGCGCCCGACAGCGCACGAACACTCGCGGAAAAATGCGAAGATATGTATACAACAAAAAAAGAACTCGAATACAAACACAACTCAAAAGAGCTTACGCGCGAGAAAGAAAAAAGGTAAGTAAAAAAATAATGTTCAAAAAGTTTGTGTACGACAGTACTTTTTTCAGTCTCAATTCAAATTCGGAATATAATTTGAATGTCGAGGAATAACACTGACGAAATCAAATTCACTTTTTAAAAAATGATAAGTAGCACTGGATATTTTTGAACGGTAGAGTCTATTTCGAAATGTAGCAATATTTATCCGGTAGACGGCTCTGTATTATCGTATGTGCGTTCAGGGATCAGGGTCCCGGTTGTACGGGCGATCCCGCTGTGGATTTGCGGAACACTAACAAGCGTCGCGGGAGCGCGCCGCGGAGTGCCCGAGCTAGCGGCGCGGGGGTCCGTCCCCGCGGGCTGTGGGAGGCGCCCCTGGGACACGCCCTCGCCTCCAGAACGGGACGACAACACCGCCACAGGTGGCGCCACCTCCACACATTCCATAATCAAAATCTTAATTCCCATTTCTTTTTTCAAACGTCACTCAACGTTGTTTCCTTTTTAAATTTCCACGAGAGGTTTTACACGAGTGTAGTTCTGAACGGTATGTATGGAAATGACGGGTCGTTTGCGATGTTACTAAGTTTCTCCTTAGAGACTGCGGGATGAGCGCGCGAGTAAGGGATAGAGGCAGAGGTGAGACGTACAGCCTCTCACTGGACCCGCGCCGGGTCTCAGCTCTGGGACGGCCCACAGCAAGTATTACTTATTAAGCAAAGTTAGATTGACGATGATGAAATTTCACTGGGAATTCACTTCAAGTGGTGATTAAAGTTTGTCATTTGTATGAACCATAAATTCGGCTGATTCTAATATAACAGTAATAGAGACAATCTGATATTATCGCTAGCCAATTGATGACAAAATTTCCATCTATTGAAAACTTAAATGTTACATATTATTGTGTTTTTGCTATAGACTACTATATTTAATACCAGTACTTAGCTACAACAATTACTTCTTGTTAAGTAGTAGCTCTCTATATTAATAGAGACCTACCAGCTACTACATATACTCATAAACCTATTTAAAGTATTTCAGTAATTCGAAGTAAAGTTTTACAATTGTAATGAATCCAACGTACAACGTATCTATGTATAACCAATGATCTTGGCGCTCAACTACCCAGGCGATTATAACGTACTCTTACGATAGTTTTGCAAATGCTTTTCACTCCACGTCGACGCTTTCAAATGACTTTGTGTGTATAGAATAATCTTGAAAAAACCCTGACTGTTTCAAAACTACAAGTAATTAGAAATAGACAATTATCTTAAAATAAAATGTATATAAACTTTGTCCAGAAATCACAATAAAGTATAAAAAAAAGAATGTAATTATCACATCTCAATATAGTTTTCACTACTTACATATTGCCAATGTGCTATTTACGTGAAGTCCAATATTATTATCGCAATGTTTCCTTCACAAATATGTGAATGGTGACAGACATATTTATTATTATGTCTATTAACAAGAACTGTGTCATAAAGATTTGAAATTGAAGAGCTATTGACCTTCCATAATTAGGCTAACATTAGCACTAAACCTAGATTACACAATTGTAATACTGATTTCTTTATAAAAATTTAGTTCTTATAAAAGTTTAGTGCTCGGAATCCAAACAAAGTTGTCTGATATTTCTTTAATTGTACACATTTAGACTTTTTTCATCGCACTCTAGTCCAACTATATTTAAAAAAACAAAAAAAAAATTAAAAGCAAGCTTTTATTTATGCGCACTAAAATGTAAATAATAAAATAATGCAACACAAGTTCATAACATTAACGTCAAAGTATTATAAACAAAATTTTCTCTAACATTAATCGACTTGAAAAGCTTGTAGCGCTAATGAAATCGGAGACGAGGAAATACACATATTTTTTACGTATTACAAGCTTTTCAAGTCTCTTACTGTCTGAGAGAATTTCGACTATAAGTACTTTAACGTTAAAGTTCCAAGATTTGCCCACTAACTAACAAAACCGAGATAATTTTTTTTTAAGCTTAGGATCGAATATTTTTTTAAGATTTAAGAAATTGATTTAAGAATATGTCTTTTTAAATAAATTAAATGTATTAATTATGTGATAGAAACAATTAAACATTCTTAAAGCTTTCGCATTGAGTTTAAGGGACGACTCCTTGAACTTATGCTAAAATCAATGAAGAGCACAATCGGAGACGTATAATGTCACATTATTCGGGAATCCGATGACTGACTAATGCAAATATTAATATTTTTCTATAACATAAATAAGAATACGATAAAAATTCATACTACCTAATAGAAGGATACTTAAAAATTCGACAATCTCATGTTTCATATATGAAATTGGAACTATTTCAGACCCAAAACCTTTCGCTCTAACCAATTACACTATCTGAAACATTAATGTAATAATTAGATGTTTTAAATCTTAGTCGAAAATCATAAACATTTTATTAGTATTCATTTGTGAACCAACCACAATTATAGAAATTCCTATCAAAGAATACAGAAGATATTTATTTTTATATTAAAATATCAAGTACAAACGGCTGCTTATCAGGCTACCACAATAATACCCGTTTTCACTTAGGAGTCATAGAAATCTGTCACCTTAATGTTTAGGAATTGCCTAAAGTAAAAATGCGTTTTACAATTGAATAGGCATCATCTAACGAAATTAAGCAATATCTTAAGTTATTATATTCAATTATGCAGCGCTTTGTGCTAGGCATTTGCTTGTATGACAGATCATAAATATGTTAAGGGATAAAAGAAAAAAAAAGCAAATATTTGGAATTAAACTAATCTGCTTAGACGATTCGTAAGATTGGATGTTTCCTTATTAAGCTATGCCTTGTTCTAGATTAGGGAAAATGGAGGTGAGTCTTTCCATAATTGAATTTTAACCCCACCTCCAAAATATTAAAATTTGATATTTCTTCATTTTGAGCGTCAATTAATTCTCCAAAGGCTTAGATTTTATACAAGAATAATACAGCGATTTTTGAATATACTTAGTTAAAGTTACTATGTAGCAGGATTGAATGGTCCCAAAATTGTGTTTTTTCTTCAAGATATTGATAAACTAATTTTATTCGTGTTCGTCTTATTGTAAAATATCTTCTCACTCTGCTTTGATAAGGTTGGTTACATCGACTGGGTTTGCATCGCTATTTCAATGAACTCGGTCGCTAACTCACGGATGTCTATGCTATGATAGTGCTGATAACAGCAGATATAGGGACAATAGGGCTATTTTCTAAACTTAAGTGCACCATCTTATATCCTTATATTTTATATTTTGAAGTGCACCATCATATATCCGCCTTTTTTAATCTTTTCATCTAAATAAGTTTTAGAGGCTGTATACAACCGTGAGAAATTATATTACAAGTGCTGTTGCTTTTTGAATAAATCAGCTACTTTAAATAGGACAAATAAGATTATGGAATAAAAAATAGAGGAGTTATTATTATTAACAAATTTAATGTCTATTAGTACCTACAATACTAAATGTATTGTACTCAAATAAGTTACTTGAAAAAAGAAATTAGCTACACTGTATTTTTCTTAATCTGTGCTTTTACATAATATAAGATCTTTATTTGCTAGAATACAAATTAATAAGGTTACAAAATTAAAAAATGAAATAGGCACAGTATTCTACCTGAGTACAGGCATGCAAATATTGTAATCGTCAATTGTTATATGGAACTAAGAATCTATTTCTTGAGTCCATTAATTTGTTCACAACAAAACAAATGATAGCATAGAATCTTTAGATCATTAGTTAAGTAGTTTGTTATCAAACCCAGTTGCAAAAAGGGCCATTAAAACATCATAAATTTAAAGTGACCTTGCGCCAGTTGGACAAACGTCCATTAAGTATACGATCTAATGGTTGTTTAAATGAGAAATTTTTAATGAAAATTTTAATAGTGTAAGCAAATAATACAATTTAATAATGCTAACTGATTTATCAATAGGCAAGTACGGGCAAGACGGGGCACTCCCCCGCAATTGAAAGCCAATTGATCAATTGCAATATTTTTTGTACATAATGAATTTATTAATTAGAAAAGACATTAGAATACAATGTCCCGTTTTAGCTAAAAAATAAAAAAAATATATTCTTATTGACAATTTTGTTAGCATTTTTGTAACTTCAGTTGCCAAGTCTTTACTCCAGAGAATAATGAAATTTTAAAATACATATAAAGTTATTCATATCGG